GATGAAGATGATAGATATTGAGAGAGAGAGAGAGAGAGAGAGAGAGAGAGACTACTGTCTGAGATGCAGTTCTTGCACAATAGTTTACAGATGTCCCTGCACTTAAGATTGCATACAGATAAATTCATAGTAAATTGAAACTATCAAGTCAAAAATGTGTTTAGCAGGGCTATAGAGTAGCTCAGTTGACAGAGTGCTTACCTAGCATACTGTCAGTGAAGTCCTGGGTTTAATCCTCAGTACCACATAAATTTGGTGTGGTGGCACACAAGAGGTGGAGGTAAGAGGATCAAAAGTTTAAGACCATCCTCAACTACATGGTGAGTTGGAGACCAGCCTAGGCTACAAGAGACCCTCTCTCAAACAAATGTATTTAATATGTCTGCCCTATCAAACATCACAGCTTAGAAACAGTCCACTGGAACATGGCTAACTGGAGCTGTGGCTTGATGCTGCTACTCAGCTTTACAACTCCAAAAAGAGTACCTTACTGCATATCACTAGTTGGGAAATAATCAATTTTCCAAAGTATAATTACTGCCAGACTTGGTGGCAGTAATCCTAGCACTTGGGAAGCAGAGGCAGGAGGATCATGCATTAGAGGCCAACCTGGGTTACACAGCAAGTTCCAGGCCAGTCTGAACTATATAGTAAGACCCAAAAGACAAACAAAAATGGACTGGCAAGATGATTCCACAGGTAAAGGCACTCTCTGCCAAGCCTGACAACCTGAGTTTGGGCACACATGGTGGAAGAAGAAAACCAGTTCTCACAAGATGTCTTCTGACCTCCACATGCACACCACTACGCACTCACACATGCACAGACATAAAACAACTTTTTAAAAAATCCCCCCACAAACAAGATATTATTTCTCCTATGCATATCTATTTCACACACTTGAAATAGAAAAATTTCAAGTCAAACCATTATAAATTGTGACCATCCACCCATACTAATGCTTATCCTAAGTTGAACATTAAATGCATACAGAGGTAATAGTGTATGAGAAGCAAAATGTCCAGCCATAAAAACACATATCTATGTGCTAGCCACCATGTGGTATGCCAATAAAATAATTTCACTTTATACACATAGCAAATATGTTTGGTAATACATGTTAAACACTAACAATTAAAGCATAGTGGTTTACATTCATACTATGTCTTTAAGACATTTTTATTAGTGAACTTCACTATTACCTTAAAAGAAAGGTTTTGAGCCAGGTGTGGTGGCAACACACCTTTAATTCCAGCACTTGGGAAGCAGAGGCAGGTGGATCTCTGTAAGACGGAGGCTAGTCTGGTCTGCCTAGCAAGTTCCAGGCCAGCTAAGGCTATAGGGAGACCCTGTCTCAAAAAGGAAGGTTTTGATTATGGTCCTTACTTTATAGATGAGGAAACAGGTTACACTATTTAAAAAGTTTACCAAGTCTAGAATTTATAAAATATAAAGCTGACATCCAACTCCAGGCAGATTGTTTCTGGAATTTGTAATTTTTCTCTATTCCAAACTTCTATGAAAACAATCTACCATCTTTTCCTCACTGTATTCATCGTGTGTGTGTGTGTGTGTGTGTGTGTGTGTGTGTGTGTGTGTGTGTGTTTGGCAGTGCTGGGGACTGAACCCAGGGCACTATGCATGCTAGGTAACCATTATACCATCCTAGCTCACTATAATTTGTACAATTATTTATACTTCAGGGCTGGAAAGATGGCTTAGTGGGGCAAGTGCCTGCTACACAAGCATGAGGATTTGAGTTCAAGTCCCTGGTACCCACATAAAAGTTGGGCATAGCAGTGTACTGCTATAACCCTAATATGGGGGAGGAGAGATAGGTGGGTCACAAGGGCTCACTGGCCAGACAGTAGAACCAAAACAAATTCCAGGTTCAGTGAGAGAGCCCATCACAAAAAATCAGGGAGAATGACGAAGGAAGACTCCAAAAGTTAACCTCTGGTCTTCACTCACACATACACAGGTGAGTGTACCTACACACAAGCACAGACATGCAACCATACACATGCACACACCAAAAAATAACAACAGCAAACCAATTACTTATACTTCAAAAGATACTTGCCATGTAAGAACAGATTCACGATATGGAACAAAAACCTTCTTTCGGTTTGTTTGTTCAGAGAGTGCAGATATAACCTTCCCCAAAGTCAGCAAGGACTTGTTGATGCTCACACCTTCCTGTATACAAGATTGAAAAACAATTATCTTTCTTAACTTCTCAGCCACAAATTCACTTCATAAAATATAGCTCTCCCTCATACATACTGGGTAAATACTTCTATAAACTACTTTTTTTATGGCTCAAAAGTTATTTTCTTTGAAAAGTAATCATAATAAAGCACATACAACAGTTAAACCATAACAATGGAATCTATGAACTAAAGATAAAGATGTTTGGGGGCAGTTAAGTGTATTCAATTTGCATTCTTCTAAAAATATTGCCCTCAAAATAAATTTCATCAAAATGAGGAAAACAAGGTAAATGTTGAGGTGCACCACTTTAGCTAAGGAGTTCAAGGCCAGTCTCAGCAATACAGTGAGACTCTTAGAAGGGAGGGAGGGAGGAGGAGTGAATGAGTAGCTCCCTACTCACCTTCAGCCGATGTCCACTCGTGCCGGCTGTAGAACAGCGTTCACTGCCAGCCAGATCGATTAGATTTATGCGGCTAGTTATTCTGTGATCATGTTCTTCCCCTTCTACAAATTCTGTCTACAGATAAATCACATGAAAATAAATTAAGGATTTTTTTTTAATGACTTGCCATCAATCTAAGCCTTTAAAAGGGAAAGTTATACAAGTTACAAATAACTTATTTATAAAATCATCCCTTCTTTAATATGTAATAAATATTCATGTAGTCTACTGAAAAGAATACATTGATCAGGACTTACATTATGACAAACATATAAAAGGAACTAAAGGGCTCAAAATCCTTAACTACTTAGTTACATTAAAGAAATAACTATGAATAGAAACAAAGTTCAATGCACAAAAATGTTTGTGATGGTTTGAATGAGAATGTCCCCCATAGGCTCCAGGTATTTGGATATTTTGTCCCCAGATGATGGCGCTGTTTTGGGAGGTTTTAGAAGGTGTGGCTATCCTGGAGGAAGCACGTCACTGGGGGTGGGCTCAGAGAGTTCTTAAGGCTTGCCAGATCTCCAGTGGCTCTCTTGCTTCCTGTGCCTGCGTGATGATGTGAGAGCTTCACTTCTGCTGCTCCTGTTCCAGCCACCTCCAGCCACCATGCCTCCCTGCCATGACGGACTGTAATTCCCCTGGAACCTTAAGCTCAAATAAACTCTTCCTTCTATGAGTTGCTCAGGTCAGTGTTTCTATCGCAGCAAAAGAAAAGTGACTAATACAGTGTTCCTTATGCCAGCATTATAACAGCAAAACATTTAAAATCAGTACCAATGTTCAATAGAGAAAATTTTGAGGAATTATAATAGCTAGTGAAATATTATATAGCTTTTAAAATTTACCTCTGCAAAGAAACTTTATGGCATAAGATTGCTAAAACTTTTGTGACTCTGATTAAAAACTGAAAGATTATATATCAAAATGTTTACAGAAGCTTGAATAGTAAAACCTATGGCTGATTTCTTACAAATCAATTACTTTCTCTTTTTGTGTGTGTGCATGCATGTATGTGTTTGTATGGTTAAATGTATGTGTACATATATAGGCATGTATGTGCATATGCACATGGAGGCCAGAAGTCAATCTCAAGGTGTTTTTCTTCATAAGTTGTCCACCTTGTTCCTTGAGATAGGGTCCCTCATTGGCCTGAAGCTTACCAAGAAGGCTAGGCCAGCTGCCAACAAGCCTCAGGGATCTGCCTATCTCTTCCTCCCCAGCACTGACATTCTAAGCCTGCACCATGTCTGACCTTTTTTTTTTTTTTTAAGTCTTTTTCAAGCAGGGTCTCCCTGTGGCCCCAGCTGTCCTGGAACTCACCATGTAGACCAGGCTGGCCTTGAACTCACAGAGATCTGCCTGCTTCTGCCTTCTGAGTGCTGGGACTACAGGCGTGCGCCACTACTCCCAGCTGTGTCTGACCTTTTAACATGGGTTTTGGAGCGTGACCTAGATCCTTATGTTCATGCTATGAGTACTGTACTGATTTATCCCCTAGCCTTAAAATTTTTTAAGTTTTTCCACATATTCTAAAATTGCTATTATCATATGTCAATATGATCTTGATAAAAATATTACTAATCAAGTGTTTTTTATTCAAAAAACAGTGATAAATAATATAGTGCGATATACGCTAAAAGTCATTAAAACTCATGTGATTTCCCAAAATCTGTTTGTTTACTTTTTGATTTAAAGAAGAAATTTTTAATTTTTAAAAATATTTCATTTATTATTTTTATTTTATGTGTATGCATGTATTGCCTGCATTGTAAGTAAGTGCACCTATGTCGTGCAATGCCCGTGGAGGACAGAAGAGACTGTCAGATCCCCTGGAACTGGAGTTATGGACAGTTGTTAGCTGCCATGTGGGTTCTAGGATTTGAACCCAGGTCTTCTGCAAGAACAGTGTTCTTAACCGCTGAACCATCTCTCCAGCCCCAGAAGAAATTTTTTAAAAACACAAAATAAATGCATTCACTAACTTATCTCTGAAAATAATCACCACTAGCACCACCAACAAAATACCTTGGTCTGGGTCATCACTAGTGTCAAAACAGAATGCGAGCGGGAGCTTTTATCATTCATGCCCGTGGCAGAAGTTGCTCTCTGTTTATTTCCCAATTCCAGCCAACTCTAGTAAGAGAGAAGGTAGGTTGCATGAGCCCACTGTAACTTAACTGGAAAAAAATTAGGAAATAAAGAAAGCACATTTGCTTCTTATACACATTTGTAACATATACACACGCTTAATTGATTTCTAAAATGGAATTAGCATGCATTTTTTAAAACTTGGTATTGCCATAATCTTAAAATTTCTAAGGTCATAGTTTAGTCAACTAGCTTAAGGAACAAAATATATGTCTAGTCAAGGTTTATCTGAGAACATCTAGTTTTTGCCCAAGCTTTATCTACATCACACAGAGTAATTAAAAGTACCAGACTGATGGAACTAACCTGCTTGGATATTTAACAGCCATACTTTGAGGCTTATACTAATCTGGTCAGAGGGACTTAAAGGACAGTTTTTGCTCCTTGCCCGCCAAGATGGACTAAGTTCCAGGGGACTATGGAGCATCTCTCTTACAAGGTCCTGTAACTGTAGTGAGTCACCTGTCCTCTTGTTCAGGGAGGCCATGGAGATCCCACCAGATGGACTTGAACCAGTGTCCAGTGTCCAGTCTCAAAGAGGAGGAGGGTCAAATCAGAGGAAACATTTCCTCTATGCTTCCAAGTGAAGCCAGCCATGGTCAAACAGGATCTTTGACTTATCTTCACATAGATGGAACTGGTAAAAGAAAGAAGCCAGGGGCTCTTCCCAAGCCCATGTGACCCCTGAAGAACA